ATACCCAGACATCGTCGAAGCATCTGCACAAGAAGCCGACATGTCAACCTGAGACCGAGCACTTCGGTCCAATCAGTCGACGGGAAAATCAAAAATTCAATTCATTCTTCCATATACCCTAAGATTTGATATGACGAAACGGAATATCCATCAGTAAATTTGAGGAGATTATTGGAAATATTTATTGAAGTTAATGAAGCCACTGCAGAAATGTTTGTAATCCGTCCGATGTGGAAGTAAAAAAAACACTACAAATCTTCTTTGATATGTGTTGCTAACATGATACTGAAAGAGTAGATTTCTGTTTCAGAAAATTCTAAAGTAATATTTACATCAGTATTAGTCTGCCTCCTCAAAGATTGTTTCAAGTAGTCTTACGAAGAATTAACAACGTGCTGTCGCTACTTAATTCGACAGGATCACGGCTGAGATGAGAAAACTCGGCTAGATAGGTAGTTGCATATTACTCCCCCATTGAACAGACAGTTGAAAGATCTTGGTGATTATTGTGAAATGAAGACGTGATGAACAGTTAGAATATCATAGTCGGTATAGCATCGTGTTAGTCATCAACATTTCAATTCTTCGTATCCCACAGATATTTCCCTATCTCAGTTATCCCTTATTTTACCAATATCTAAAGTGAATGTGCAAGGGTCATCGTTCAACTTTAGACAACCAAGGGACGCGAACACACTAACAACCTTGGAAAAAGCAGTCGCGTTAAAAGGTAAATTTAGTCCCCTAAATCAACCCTAGCCCTAATCTATCCCTAACCCACCTTAATATCTTCCCTAATTAGGATTAACCTAGGCTTAACGTGTCCCTAGCTCAAATCTAAACATAATCTTTCTCTAACCTCATCTTAACGTAAACAGATATCAATATACTTCATTCAATGATTTTCTTCATGAATATGGTGTTATTTACCTGGTCTCACGTAGCATCCTAAAGCCTTCGGTGTGTTCGCTTCTGTTAGGCGTCTGATGTTTAACTTCACCACCTAAGGCTATACCGAAAAAAGGGACTACTGCAATCAGACCACCTAAGCATGTATATTTATACTCACTAATCTGTTATATTTGTGCGTCGGTGGCATAGCGGTTAGGACACTAGCCGACCGTGCACATGGTCCGGGGTTCGATCTCCAGCCGACGCACTCCTCTACCTCGCTAAGCCGCAAATAATGGTAGTAAAAAGGAAAGGTTGGGCATGAGGATAGCAACCCCATCCTGTAAAATAAACACTGCTACATAAACTTCAAGCCACTAGGTTGAAGCCCTATGTTCCACTGGGGAATGTAAAGGAAAAAATCTGTTATATTTACATATCGGAGCTCTCCAATTTACATCTTACATCTTGCTATTTATAACATAAGTGTTCCATTTTCATATACTTTTTCTATCTAAGTGTTTTGATGAGGCTTGACTAAATCAGTTCAACTTAATTTCACTCCCAAGTGTTTGCTATGCTTTTCATCAAGCCTTATGCTATTAGAGATCAGTTTGAACTTTAAGTGAAGTAAAACAGCAGACTATGGGAATATCTGAATAGGCCGTAAGTAAGTATTAATCCTAGATGTAACTTACTGTGAGTCATTCATCCTCATGTGACTTGTAAACCAGACAGTTGACCTTAAAAGAGATTGTAGGTCAAGGTGGCGGATCATAATTCCCATATGCCAACCAATCAGAACGTAGCTTTTATGTTCTATACTGTTAACTATAATGAATATATATATCCGCTCAAGGTTACACAGAGACGAAAATATGTCCTAGTTTCTTCTTAAAGGTGTTACTATTTAGTGTATGAAACCAGTTTTTGAACTTTTTAGAAGGCCAGGGATCTGATTCATTTTTTCAAGGTTACTTGATGGTATCACGAGTGTAGTATTGATTTTTTATAGTTGCTCCATAAACTAGGAATTTATTGACTGTTTTAAATTAACTATATTTTTTTAATTCCTTCACGTTCCTAGTGGAACATAAGGCTTCAAGCTAAAGATTTGAAGTTTCTGTAGCAGTGTTTGTTCTTACAGGATCAGGTTGCTAGCCTACTACCTAGCCTTTCCTTCACCAGTTTTATTTCTGGCTTAGTGATGTAAAGGAGTGTGTCGGCCGGGGATCGAACCCCGGACCATTAACTATATAATAGGCTTTTATTTCTAGTTACATTGATTTTTACACTACAAAAATGTAAATCTTTACCTTTCTGATCCATCTCCTGTGTCATCGAAGGCACAAAATTCTGGGTGTGAGAACAGTAGCCAAACTATTAGTCACATGATGTTTGTTGCGTATTTAAGTAACAGAAGTAACAAAACCACGAATTCCAGTAATATCATGATAATTACAGCATCACATGAGATGATCATTATTACTGATCAGTATTAATATTCTATTTGCACTGTTCATCAACTGATTGATAGATCAGCGTAGTAGATTTCACAAAATGAAGATGAGTTTATATTGCTTCACTTCAGTAAAGAGTACACATATAATCGTGATGAAGATGTACGGGACAAGGAATAATTAATTGAGAATTATTTAGGATTTTCACAATCTGAAAAATCATAACGTATAATTATAATTGTACGACTGTGAAAGATTTTGAAAAATATCACCAATGGTCTGAAACTATCGATTCCAAGTAATCAGGCAATTCATTCGCAATCGCAACCACAAGTTGGTGCTGCCTGACATATAGGATGCTCTTAAATTTAACAGTAGTAAACGCATACCAAAGATTATTAGATTTCATTTTCTTAAGCGTATACAAGAATCTACATTATGATTAACACTTTTAAATATAAATGTACAACTTATTTGATGTAGGGGTGTTTTTATTAGACGATTGGGTCTTTATTGTAACTTATTTGAATGGATTCCTGGAGATCTTGACCTTGAACTGAGTGATTAGTGTCTCAACCTTGTCTAGGACTCCTCAGTTGTACACACCCATAACCCCAACAGGAGTCGAACCAAGAACATCCAGGTCTCAAGGATAGCTCTTACGAAATTGGGGAATGCCACCAACTCATTGAAATTTATATGACCATCGAGATTTCAAAAATATACACTACATAACTTTCTTGTAATTGTTCTTTCTCAGGTCGTAAGTGTTTTAGTGAATTTTAATTTATATTCTATTTCTTAGTATTTCCTATTTTCTAAATTTCTTTGAAGTTTGAAAACTTCATCGTATGTTTGGCGTATGCTGAAAACAATCTACTTTAATATCTCACTAACTAATTTTTGGAAGTTTGATGGTATAAATGATAAAACAAACCAATAATCTCAATGTTACTCGCTTGTCGGTTGCGCAACACATCTCAAACTGACAGAAAGTTGGATTCATGGGCCACTGGATTGGATCTCAATGGTTGAATGACCTACGAGCTTAGCTTGTGATCGGAGGGGGTTAGAATCCTAGTGGCTGCATACTGTGAAGAGACCCAGGCTACGACGAAACAGCTGTTCAGTATTCCTTAGTTTACCAGTGTTGCTATAACTGATGTCAGCTCGTGGTCAAACCGGTAACCAATCAAATCCCAGCAAACCAACAGTTGATAATTTCAATGTAGTTTCTATTTCTTTTTGACTGTTCACGTTGATCTCAATATCTCGCTTACGTCTTACTTCTTACAGTAAAGGGAATAATAAGATTAAAATCTTGTGTGTGTGTGTTTGTAATGAAATATTTAAATGACTTCTTCAATCAAGCAATTATTTTATACGCTTACTGAACAATCCTGTTCTTCTTTTCATATCAGTAAGAGAAAGTTGTCTACCTGGAAATGGAATACTCGTCCTTGTTTCCTGTGTACACTAGACACAGTGGTTAGGACTCTCGCCGACCATGCACATGGTCCGAGGTTCGAAACCCTGCCGATGCACACCTGATATCTATCGTCGGCCTGCAAACTTTGGGCTACCGATATCACAAGCTGAGAATTCCATACTTGTACCAAAAAATACGGCGTGGGATCAAGCTGTAATCAAAAATAAAAATATTTAATATGTTAGTCACAAAATAAATAATCCACTGAATAAAATCCATTCCTAGCTGACTTATACGTAACGTACAAAGTACTGCATCATATTAGGTTGTGTAATATTTTATTGATCCAAAGAATTAGTCATTTACGTCATACTTTTGTGTTAGTCATCAACTGGGAGAGGAAGTCTATGACCAATGAATAATGTCAATTTTGAGTAGAATCTACGATTAAACAGACTTATTAGTCAGAATAGAGGATTGACTTTTAAGGGTTAGGTTTGTGTAAGTCGGATTACTTTCAAGGTAGATCTCATCAAATCATGAGGAAGTGAACACTTGTTTTTTCCCAGTGTTGAGACACTTTATCACTATGTAAGAATGATTCCAGATGGGGTCGAAAAAACGACCTTCTGATTACGAGGTGATAAAATTAACATCCAACTGTCCATGAATTGTAACTCCTGTCTACTTCTGATCTAGAGCCATCCCCTCTAACGTTAACGGTGAGTATCTCTCTATCCATACCTGACTGAGCGTGTCTCGACTTGATACTAGAACTCCTAGAAGTCCATCTCATGATCAGGAATTAATTGATTTTTTTTTTCAAGTGTTCTAATAATGAGTGTTGACCGATTGGGTACATTAAATCAGGTGTGGATGCAAATACTCGCTAGTGATCTTGGATGGCTACTGTGAAATCCCACTAAGCTGTAGAGCGATTGCACTCCAATCCGATAGCTGAATAGTGACTTCAAGGTTCTGAGATCATTGTTACGTAGTGCTGAAGAGTATCGACCCGAAAAGAAACAGATATGTTATTTCTTCTGGGTCGGCAACGGTTATCTAACTGATGTTATTTCGTGAAGAGATTTAACTTGAAGTTAAAATTCAACTTTTTATTAGCTATTTACAATAAATTTCAGATATTTATTAATAATTTTTCAAAAGTTTTGCAGTGATTTGTTCAATATTCAATGTTGATATTATTTTTCTTTTCCCAGAGAAGGTGATATTAATGATGTAATGAATGAAGTAAGAACTCAGCTGAAGAAAATGGCAATTACAGATAAATGTAGAATTGATGATATGTTTCTTACGTATAATAAAGATCGACTTGGTTTTATTGATATTGAAAATCTAAAGGATATGTGTAAAAAGATAAATATTCCACCGGATGAAGATATTCTGAATGCTGTATGTTTTTTGTTTCATCAGTAGTATTTTTAACTTCATTTTTTAATCATTCCTTTGTATTCTGACTGTAACACTGAACTTGAAGTCTCAGTAACCAATCTCTTACTTTTATAGAGTAGAGTTACTAACTTCACAACTAAGCTTCTCTCAATTCTGGGTTCACTAATGGCTGGTAAACTATATGGGATTTAAGAGTGCTTCAGTCGGGAATCGAACCTGGACTACCTGAGTGGCTAACTGGACATTATAAAAGTGATCTACAGACTCAAGTTTTCAATTTAAGTACAATTTTGTTTGTTAATAGTGAATTTTGATGTTTAAAATGATATTCTCCAATCACAGTGATATCGTTCAAAATTATGTAACTGGATACACATAAACGAATATGAATCAATTGGCTAACAGATAATTTAACTTCTGAAGTACTTAAATTTCAATAGATAGGCATATAAATATTTGAAAAACTGGGTTAAAGTTGATTCTTTCATCTGTCAGACAGATGAACGAAAAACTTTAGTACAATGTATATCAGTTCAAGTTGACGCACTTCAAAAAGGTATACAACAAAGAGTCTAGAAGGAGAATGATATTACAATAAAGTTAAACAGAAACTTTTGTAATTATTAAAAAACAAAGTCATTATCATATCAAGGTGATATGATTATGAGTAATAAATTGTGCTCGAAATGTGGTCATCAGTGAATATTACTGTATATTACACTGTGAGACTTTATCAAAATAAAATTTTACCCATAATAGAATTATTTTAGGTCTAGGTAAATTTTTATATTCTAATAATCTATAGTTGACTCCGATCTATTAGTTTGACCTATGTAATCGACCTCACTAACAGTCATTACATGGTATTTGGTAAATTATATAATGCCTTTCTTAATTGGATCTGTTGGGTCCTTAAGTCGACAAAGTTTATCTCTGAAAGAGTTGGTTGGTTGGTTTAAATGCAACACTAATTCCAACGTCATTGGAAATACTACTTAAGGCCTATGACATCCCTTCTTTATACAGGAGTACTACAGAGACTTTGAATTCTATTTCATTTAGGCATTTTTATTGCCAATCTTAGTTTTTCCATGGTTCTTCATATACACTTTTTAATAAATTTTGGTGATTAGTTATTCACTAGTAATACTTCCTCTACTTGTTTGACTTCACTATATTTAAATCTTCCGGCTTACTAATTAGACACTTAGTCACTAGACATTTCAGATTAAAAATAGGTCATTTCAATAATGCAATACATCATTTTGTATTGTTAATTAATTTGAAAGTGTGATGACAGTTTATTTTAAATGTCTTCTCTGCCGCTTATACTTTTGTTGTCTTCTTCTTCTTCATATAGCTGCTTGAAAAATATGGCACGAATGGAAGAATGTCATTAGAACAGTTTGGAAAGTTTTTTGAACTACCATAATGGAATTATGATTAGAGAATAACACTATCTTATACTATGAAAAAGATAAATACTATCATCCCTGCTTGTGTTTGTGTTACTTACCATTTTTAGATGAAATGAATAAAGACTGAAAGAAAAAAACAAACCTTTAGTGACTATTCTATGTATTATTTCTATTTAATTTGATTTGATTCAGTATAGACAAATTTATTATACATATCTACAGACATCATATGTCTAGGTGGTTTAATATGTTTACTTCAATGTAAGTTTGAGTATATTTAATTTTGTGAATATGCCTTATATTCAACTTAAACGAGTAGAATACGAATGAAATACACCATCATTATGTAATTAACTAAAGAAATGACACTGGCTCCTTGACTTGAATTCATAACAAGACAAAAATAATAAATAAAAGTATTTATGAATTACTGTTGAAATTGTTTTCTTGTTTGTTATTTCTGAAGATAAATTGAAAGAAAAACACCTAACACTTAAACACATGCATATACAGCGTAATTTAATAATTCCTATTCTAAAGTCAAGGACACTATTCAGCGAAGAGATTCCTTTCAACGAATTTGTTATCAAACTGTAAAACCCTATTTACGTATAATTTTTAAGAAATTATATCCTTCTATCGTGATTCAGCAGTAGAATGCTTGCCAACTACGCCTCATATGGTCTGGAGTTCGATTCCCAGCTGACTTATTCCTCAACCTTCTCCTTAGCCGGTAGTAACCCTGGTAAAGAGGGGGAGGTGTGGGCATGGGGCTAGTAACTCCGCCTCCTGCTACCTGAGACTTCAAAGCTCGAAGTCATATCACCCACTGGGGACACAAAGGAATGGAATAACAATAAATAATCCCTCGAGGAAATTCAAACAAAAGGCGTGAATACTTTGATTGAACACTAATTAGTAACTAGTGTAATGTGTCTAATCCTTTGTTTGGTGCAGACTGAATTCTAACAGTCAAGTTTGCATTCTGGTCACAGTTCTAGGTGGCTCGCCATCATAGTACACCCGAACTGTTGATGTTAGATAGTTGGAGGTAATCAGCAGGAAGCCTTGGACCTAGGTTTCGTGTTCGTTGGCACTCGTCAGCAAGGGAAATGAGTTCCCTCACGGTTGCAGAGATATGCCTTGCTGACAAGTGCCAGCTAGAACAAAATCTAGGTCCAAGGCTTCCTGCCGATTGCCTAACACCGTATAATATCAACAAAAAGGCGTGATGAATAACCTATAATAGTAGTAATATGAAGTATGATAATGTTTATGATTATAACCATAATTCAATACCAATTTATAAAACAAATAATATCATGTATAAAATAGTTCATAGAATGTATACATCTTGGATAGAGGTGGAAAACTGACAATGATTTTGATAATAATAAGTTTTATTCTGGACAGTGTTTACATAACGTACAGAATTTTCGGCGTAGTTTATTGCATGATATTTTCCCCTCGTACACCATCTTCAGATAAATTATTAATTGACAGTAGATCCTGTGACACAATGTTGTCTGATTGGAAGTGCTAACCAATCCATTATGATATTTTCTCTTTGCTTCCTTCTGGAAATGCACGATATTTAGATGAAAACCATCTGTAAAACGTGTTATGGAGTACATTTTGAGACCTCAGGATATAACTCAGGAACACTACTGGGATACATTACCCCCACTATTATGTTTTTCCTAAAGTTTAGTAGAAACTAGCGAATAAGCAGGTTGTAAACACAAAATGAACAGGATAAAACTATATGCAACATAATGATGGAGAATATGTAGTAGAAAATGGAGCTGGACTGGACACACGCTGAGAAGACAGTTGAATGGCATTGCGTGCCGAGCCACAGCTCGAGTGCAACCCAAATGGGAAACGATGAGTGGGGCGTCCGAGGGTGACATAGAGGAGATCTTCCATGGGGGCGATCACAGAATATGGGCAATTGTGAGGTGAGATAAAGAGGACTGCAGGAAATAGTACAAAGTGGAGATGTGCTGCTGAAGTCCTATGTTCCATTCAGAACCTAAGAGAACAATAATAATAATAATAACAATAGCGATGGAGGCTTTTGGTAGCCCATGTTTTAAACAGACCGCCAGACTAGAAGGCAAATACAAACATTGCATAACATGTTAAGAAGTTTGGTAAGATAGATTTTAACGTTGACGAAAATATATACATTGAATTAAAATAACCAAATTAGACAAATGAGATAGTACTAGAAACTGTTCAGAGTGAAAACAAAAATAATACCAGTCGTAATAATAACAATAATAAGGAAAAGGTTGATATGTATCCACACATTTATATATTTATGTGTGTGTGTATGTTGGTCTCTCTTTCTGTTTGCTCTCTTAGTCTGTGACCATTTCACTTGTATGAACTTGTCCCCTTTAACAATGTATATTCCCCTTATATTATATATAATATGAGTGTTTGTTGACAGTCCGTTGCTTGGTGACATATATCCATATCATATGTTTGGTTGTTGACATGTCTGCTATATGTATATATGGATCGATACTTCATTATAATTAGCCATTCATGTTAAGACTGTCTAGTGATTTGTTCACACCCTTGTCTGAACATTCATATATATTTCGCATATACAATTTGTGTGAACTACTTGACTTTACTTACTTACCACTTTGGTGTGAGACCATTTATTTTCGTCTCCTTGTGTTTGGACAATAGAAGTATCATCGCAAACCTAGTGGTCTTCTGATTTCCGCCTTCTTGCGTCAGGACTATTAGTTTCTCGACCAGTCCATAACAATAATTTAGCGACGAGTACATAACAAAGGTACATAGATTAAATAAACAAGAAGGAAAACAAATTGAATAGATGTTTTTTTTCTATAAGATGGTGCTGAATTTATCTTGTAATACTTCTCACCAGGTTATGTAACGTTTGTATTTGTATACTAATCGTATTAATTTTACATGGCTATCCAAGATACATACAACATTCTTACGAACTATTTTATACATGATATTATTTGGCTTTTATAGCTTCATACTGAATTATGATTGCAATCCCAAACAATTCTATACTTCGCATTATGCTTATTTTTAATATTCATACCTTTCATTTAAATCACCTCACGAGACATAGTTCTGTTTTTATTTAAATCATACGTAAATACGATCGTACATCTTGATAATAAATTCTTTGAAAAATCTCTTCAATGAATACTTTTAACACACGCACATTTCCAACAGGCTGCAGACTTTATCAACAGCTGCCTTTACTGGCCAGAAGAAATTAGCGACAAAAAAAATCTGCGGACGAAGCAATCAAGAACCTGTTGCTCAATAAATATGCCGAAGAAAGTAGAGGTGAATAGCACACATGCTGAGGACCGCTAGGTGAAATAGTTTGCCAAGCCTAGAGTGGAACGACGAGTTAGGTATCAGAGAGTGACCAGAACCTATAGACAGTCGTGGAGTTAGCTAAGGAGGACTGCAGAGAACAGGACAAAATGAAAGTGTGCTGGTGAAGCCCAAAGAGATAATAATAATATAATAGGTGGTGGTTCAGGGCGAAAATAATAAAACCGGATCCCGAAAGGATTCAAATCAGCGGTATCCAAGCTACTGGTGCTGGCGTTCTACTAGGTGATCTACGAGGCCCAACTGCTAAATAGGTCATCATTTCTCTGCTACAACATACATCATGCCCAACTGGTATGTAAATCACTGATACATTACAGTACCCTAGTTACAGCACTAGCTTAAAGGATAGAGTGATAAAAAGCAATTACCTAAATTGAATTCTGAAACTTAAGGGAGAGATAATTCGTAGATTTAACACTGACCTCTTCAAGAAATAAACATTTGGATGGGAACTTAGACTTTTGGTTTATCGTACACATACCATAGTAATCAGACTAAAATTACAGAATACAATTTAAGCAAATATGTACTTCCAGTAAATTCTCACCAGGCTTCATAATTGCATAATAAAATACTAGTCACAGGCATTTATAAATTCAATTGTTCTTGTAGAGACGGTCGCATAGGTAGAACGACTCGAAATGTCCACACTGTCGCCTTCTTAAGCACTGTCCAACGTGGTTAAGAAAAGGAGTCGTAATGTCAATTGGTAGTTCCATATTGGCACACCTTATGGATACGGGACTGATAAAATTCCGCCTTTTAAAATTCTATACAAGGTGCCATCTCAATTGCCTAAGTTTTTACGCCGTCGATCGCTAAGTATATAGCTAAAGTAGTTGCCATAATAAATTTGCATCCCAATCTGTATCCAGAGGAAGTCTGTTCAATTCATCTCCTTCCTGCAGCCTTTACCTCCAACCTACAGTAGTTATCTCTCCCCAGGTGCCACCGGATAACTGTAAATATTGTCTTTATTTGTACTGCTAACATGTGTGAATTTATCCCTATTATTATTGTACCCTAACTCACATCCCTGAAATTTGATTCATATTATTTCAAATGCCTATGACTAATCTTTTATTATGTAATTGTGAAGCCTGATATGAATATGATGAAAATACCTATCTCGTTAAATAGTGTTCTATATTTGTCATAATGAGGATATTTAAATAAATAAAGTGTAAAGTCAGATATCTATATTGCAAAACAGAAACTACGGAAGGCAGGGTATGTAATAGTGTAACAGCAGAAGGCGAGACACGGAAACAAACGTACATTTTCAATAGATCAAACCGCTACTTATATCTATACAATTTATATTCTTTAGCCAATTACTGAGCGTGTGATTTCGGCTTACATTAAACGACATACATATATAGTATCCTATTGCTAATGCACTACTGTTGAACTGTGGAAACATGCGAGAATGATATTCCGTTGCAACACATTGTCTGTATCACAACACCACAATAGAAGTCTAGTTACTCTGATAAATTTATACAAATATATATATATATATATATGACCAACAGATGAACTATCGAGGAATTACATGGAGGGTATAATTTGACAGGGAAGCCTATAGATAAAATCTCATGTATTTTACCTAGGGTCATATACTTCGATGTGTAACACTGCTTCCGACTAATTACATGACAAATAAACTATGTGAAACAAAAGTTACTTCCATCGAAGGCCCGAATCTATATGAAACTTAACGGCCTAAGGTAATCAGCACTTTGCGAGGCTATTTAATTGCATTAGAATAAATGACCAACTGTAAACGACATACTGTTTGGTCATTCGAAAGGCATAGGATTATGAACGAGCTGGTACTTGCACACATTTACTGTAATGTATTTGAGTAGCCAGTTACATGTCGGTTGATATCAAGTGAATCAATGTATCCAAATACTGCTGCACTTCGGTGCCAAGTTCCATGTTGAATCCAGACAGACTGTTCATCATTATTCCTCAAAGAATAGAAATATTTCCTGTCGAGTTTTCCATGACTTTCACGTGGAAAACCAGTGACTGTCTGCTTAACATAAACTTACTACTAGCTGTCCAGATTGATTAGAGTAATAATGAATTAAGACAGAAAAATAGGTTGTTGGCTGTTAACGTGACTACTTGAAATACCCTTGAATAAGCAGAATGATATTGAATTTTGGTTGAGTTATAGGTAAAAGGGAATAATGTGCTGAGGCAGGGATCGAAATCATCCCTTACACAGAACTAGCCCCAGAATCTACCAAATAAGCAACGAAACCCAGATACAAACCAGATCACCGCCCACTTAGACCCAAGCAAGAATTTCCTCCCGCTGTAGTGCGGATATGTGGTACGTAGTTGTTCTGCCCATGCTACAATCTACTGCACATCGATAATATCATAAAACATTTGTAATTTCCCCATGACTTTGTGTCTGCTGTTTTTCTGCTTTTATTAGAGTTTCCTTTGCCGTCTCCTAGCCTGCTAATAGACGGATGTTCTGAAGCTGTAGCAATGAATCGTGACCAGTGGAGTCCTTCTCGTCAAGAAGTTGATGCTCAACGAAGTTATTGGTGAGGGCGGTGGTACGTCACAAATTTACAAAACTATAATCAAAGGGTCATTGTATCCCAACCCATGTGACTAGATAGTCGATCAGCCCGCTCTTGATCCTCTGAAGGGTCGTGGGTACACACTAATGAACAGTCCAAAAACAGCCGTCCAGTAATCCTTGGTTTTCTAATAATCGTTCTAACTGGTGTTGATTCCTCACGGAAAGCTAACCATTTAAATTAACTCAAATCCCACAATGTAAATATTATTGAGTGATTTTCATTCCATATCAGCTTGACCGGAATCAGACCAACTAACTTAAAGATAAGACAACTAAACTCCACTACTAAAGTACCGTATAATATTTTAAAAATAAAGCAAAATTTACAAGCTCCGCAAGGTGTTGCTACTTCGTAACGCGATTCGTAAACCCGACCGAAAACTGCTACCTTGACGTGGTGGTCGGGCTTGAACACCGCAATGATCTATTCAAGCTATACTGGCTGAGACTTATGTCTCTTGAGGTCCTACCATGCCAGGCAGGTTGTTTGGATAGCGGTTAAATAAAAAGCAGCTACCCAATCCAACATCATGATAAATACCAAATCACAAAATTTCATGCCGGATCGGCCGTGGCCCGGATTAACAACGATCGCGCTTCCTGCTGCCGCGTCACAAGGCAGGAGTGATAAATATGCTACTGAGGCACACAAAACAACAAAGAACAAACAAAAACAGGCCGCGTGTGACCGGCCTCAAGCAGTTGTCCCCTGGGCTCTGCGGTCACGCGACCAACTTCCACGGTGTGGGGCAGCCGGGAAGTAACAATCGCCTTCACGATCCGAAACGCACGCGAAACCTCTCCATTACTCACTCATCTTTGTTTTCATCTTCATCTCTTTTGTACACTAGATTCCCCTGAACAAAGATATGTTACAGGAAAGGTATCTATTGTAAGTGGTTGTACACAGCTGATATAAGTAGTCTATAAGGCAAGTGAGTGAAGAATTCATTTCCTCATCTGAATCAGAAGACTCTACTATTTAGATGCACTCAGTAATTTTTCAATATCTTATGCAAAATTCATTTACTCACTTGTCACACTTTTTTGCATATGTAAATACGCTGGTGTGAGGTGTACTAAACAGGTTCTGATTGACAGAACAACAGTATCGTTATCAATTACGTTTCATTCCTGTTCATATACTTTTGAGAATTTATATAACAACTCATGAAAGCTAATTTCTGTAAATGATTGACACAAATGTAACCCACTAATGTAATCGCATTAGACGTCATCAGTTGTAGTGGAAATTATGACTCTTGAGACTGCACAACATACAGCTTCTCAAGGATTCTTTAACTAGCATTATTTCGTGATAGGATACACAAACACAAACTATGTTCTGAAGTTAGTGCAACTTGTCACTTCTACTAAATTTTATTACCACAGAAAATGTTCGATACACACAACAGTTTTTTCATAAAACATGTTTGCAGAATAAAACAACCTGAAAACACGTGTAAAACTCAAAACAAAACCTCATTGACACTATGGTACCACTGAATGACTGAGATGTGTAGTTGTTTGAACCACTCGCACTAACCAGTGAGTAGTATTTGCTAACACAACACCCAAGTGATCTAAACACCGGATGTTCATTTGGCGCCTAGCTCACCACCAACAGTGTACCAGATTTGATGTATCTCAGAGAGTGGAATCACTTGAAACCAACAGATTTCTAGTTAGCTACCTGGATGAGAACTGAGAACACCACACCTTAAATCATCTTCAAAATATGTAAACTGTGAGTGGGAAACCACACCGCTTCTCTTCACCAATGCCATCAGTGAAAATACACTCAAAAATAAAAAGTTCAGAATAATAAGCAACTTTCTTTTTTAAATGTAATAACAACAACCACAACATGATGAAAGGATGCATAAACGATTTATAGTTGACAAAAATTGCCAAAACTTTAAAAAAATCAAACAATCGGTAAACTAACCAACAACAACAGACGCTCACATACCACATACACCCCCAGACGCAGAGTAAGTGGCAAGTCATACACAACACAACACTATTCAATAGAAACTACAAACAGAAAGTATTAGAAGAGAAACAGAATTCTCAGATTTTCTTTCTTCTTTTAAATGATTTTTGAAAAAGAAAAGAAAAATGCACGATCTCTTCTGTACAGTGTGTGTAAATAAAACAAGTTTGATGATGATTTGCGTTAGTTAGCAGTAATAACAATAACGATAATAGTAGTAACAATGGCAAAAAATATTAATAATTTATTATTAAAAGACTTCACAATGATTGCTAAGAATGAGAAAAAAGAAGAGTAATGTGATGACAGCAGTTCACGCATCCCTAATAAAATTACTTACTTTTTTAAAAAAATGCAATGATTATACAGTTATATGTATATATGTAATTCTTCTTTCTTAAAAGAAAAACGGGACAATACAACAACAGTAATGATAAGAATGACAGTCGTAGAGTAATGTGCTATAATTAATGGATAAAACACAATATAAATAAATGTCAAACAGCAGTATTAATAAATGGTATTCCATATATATATATATATATATATATATATATATAGGGAGAATGAAAACGTATTCACCAGTTTAACAGACAATAAGGAATGAAGATATATAATGCGTAAAAATGAGGGAATATATTCAAAAGAAATGCTTTAATCAAAACAACGATGGTTACTCTTTAAGTATATTCAATCATCAAAGAGAATGACTGACTGGATTTGAGATAAATACAACAAACAAAACAGCCAATGAAAACACATCCAGATACACACACACACACGTTAAATACACGTGCACATCTCTGTTGCTAGTTAGTCAATCGCTTAGTTACTTAGATAATGATAGGGATACACAATATGATATATATATATATATATAGTATATCAGAAATAATAATATCCGTGTATGAAGAAAATACAATAAATGCAAATGTTAAGATAGCAGTGTTCTATATATATATATATATGGTGATGATGAAAATAAAAGCAAGGGAATAAACTCACCCACACGCACACATGATGAATCAATGCAAATACGTATAAGTATATAAAATGATGAAAAAAAGCAATGAAATTAAATAAAAATAAAGGGGGTGGGGAGGGGGGAAGTAAACTGTCACTACTACTTATAATCGGCGAGGATAGTAGTAGTAGTAGAAGTATTAATGCTTAAAAATATAAACGGCAATAATAAATATAATGACAAAAGAAGAAATAAATAAGATTATTTGATCAGGATTATTACAATAATAGGAATTAAAAAAGTGAAATACTCTTTACTTATAAATAATAATAAGCTTAATAATGAAATGAAATTAATATTAAATAATATCTTTAAACTATATCTATCGTCCGCGCACACACACACCCACACGTTGTGTATGTGCGTGTTGATTGACAATGATGAATGCTGATGACAATAGCAATAGTAGTAGTTATGAGATAATAATAAATGAATGCCAATGATTACTGTTCGCTTCTCTACTCGAGATAAAAATGAAAGTCAGTGTTTTATAAAGAAAATATGATTATTGCAGCTGTAAAAAATGAAGTTAGATGACTATAATAATAATAAATAACAATAATGATGATAACTATGTATAAAAAAGGAGTGATACTTTTGAAAAGTATTAAATCAGAAAAGAAATTATTGATGTGATGCTCGTAAAACAAAATTAAAGTATAGAATTAATTTCTTGTGTGTGTGTGTATCTGTATGTGCTGAATAATACATTTTAAACCATCGTTAATTATTGTTGAAGAATCAAAAACACACATCAAGTTTGAACATCAGATGATGACGATGTTGAAGATGATGGTGATTCTGATGTAAGCGGAGGGAGGGATGGAGCTGCCAAAACTTTTTCATGTAACCGGAAACGATCAACAATTAATGGTCTCACGTCATCCTAGTAAATAAAGCAACAAACAAATAAAGAAATTAATAATGGTAACTAAAGTAGGACGGCTAAGTTATCAGTGTAAACTAGAATCTCCTTTTTCCCTTCTATCGTAAGCATATACGTAGATGGAGTAAAACATGGTTGGAGTCTGTACAGGTGTTCCAGAAAGAGCGGCAGTATTCTGCCAACTCCCTTCACCGACAAACTTACCACTATGCGATGTAACTGAGTCCGTCGCTGAGTTCGTGATAGGGACAGTGCAAGAAGGCTGATTCCTAGTGGTCGCCAACACGATTGAGAGCGAAAGCTGCTTAAACGCAAGTTTATCAAAAGTCCCCGCAAACACCATGAACAGTAGTGGGCGACAAAAGCGGAAGAGACGGGAAAGGCATCGGCGATAGGTAATACCAAATGACTATTCAGTCTTATTTGGGAACCAAGTTGTAGAAGAAAAACGAGAGGTGAGACGATCTCGGAGAAAAGCAGCGCCTCAATTAGCTTTTAGGATAGGAACATTGGACGGAACACTGAGTAATTTAACTGACCTGCAGCCACACTCAACCCTAACCCATTCAGGTAGGTGTTGGATGTTGGGTAGGGTTGACCGTGGCTGTAAATCAATTAAATAACTATCTCTAATCTGAAGCAAGGCAAAGCAACGGGACCTATTGGAATGGCTCCAGGGTGTTTAGAGGTGGTTGTGATGAGCCGTTTTCTGGGTTGACTAAGATGTTAATGTTCGGGAATCAGAGATAGTTCCGTTGGACTGGTGTAAAGCACTGATTACTCCAGTTTTATACAGAAAGGAGACAAGTCTTCTAGTGACAATCACAGGAGAATTAGCCTAACATATTATCTAAATCACTAAATTTAGTAATCATGCGTGGACTGAGTAGTGCTCAGGAGAAACAGACCCAGGAAAACCATGAAGGGTTTGGGACAGGAAGAGTGAATCAATCATATTTTTATCCTTCGACAGATTCTGGAACCTAAGCATACTTAATACCATCCAGAACGTGTCATATTCCTTGACCTGAAGGTGGTATTCAACACTGTCGACTGAGATATTGTGGTAATGTTTGACTGCAAAAGCAGTGATGAGAAAGTATATCGCATTGATCGAGGCACTCTACTCGAACTAACGCATTGATGCAAGACTTCACGGAGAATTGTCATCTGAAGTAATGACAGTCATTGGAATCCCAACTTTCGTTTAATCTCACCATTGATGTACTACTTGGTGTGACTCTATCTGACCGTAGAGACTTAGGGATTGACCTATTACCAGGGATTAGTCTCGTCGACTTAGAGTATGCGGATGATACTATCCACCCAAGCGAAGGGGCTGGAAAAATTGCAGTCTTCTGGACAACTTGAGCAGAAATCTATGTTTGACACACCATTCGCTGCTGTTAAGCGTAAAATAATTGCGCGCAGACTCTTAGTTTAAAGGTAACGAGTAAGTAGTCGACCGTGCTGAGTGGTATAATACGGTGAGTAATATCGTTCTAGGCAAAGAAGGAATGCCAGTCGGCGGGGTAGTATAGTTACATCAACTGAAATGACTAGGACACGTTGCATACATATTGGAACGCTGTCTTCCTCCTCAATAAATGTTAGCTGACACAGTATTAGATTAGAAAGTAATTAGTGGTGATTGAGTCGAAATCTGGAATCAATCCCTGAAGTCTTTGAAAGTCAGTTTGAGCCCCGTAGAAAGGTAGAGACTTCCTGGTTGGGGTCCTCGAGATGCTAACAAATGATGGCTTGAGACTGCTAGTGATATGGTTTGAAAGCATCCTCTTTGGGGCTGAGGCACTTACTCTTTGTAATCTTTCAGATCCATCAGATCCTCATACTTTTCCATATTACTATTCTTTCTTTTTCCTGTGAATTTCTACTCACTCTTCTGAATCTTTTCTCTACTTATGTGTTGAATAGTGTGGGGACTTAAACTGTTGGGCCTCTGTATAACGTTCCGTGTTCAAACTCATTCCGTTACCATATATTAAAAAAACTGAATTTTCCTAACACACTTCTCAACAAATAACTGTGAACTCTGGGTGTTATCATTACGATTGTATGCTTTAATGATTGACTTAGTTATGAGGGCTGAAATGATTGTTTTTAACAGTTTTACCAAAATGGAAATATGGAAAGAAGAACGACAGCGAGTTTTCTTTCTTTGATAACCAACGAACCATGAATGGTGCTAGCTTAGTAGAGAAGTTGGAAAGGTTAACTTCAAAAACAACACATCATCGCTCACTTTATGACAGCGTATAACTGGTGATGGAGTTTATCGCATGAACGATACTTTACAAATCTCAATACACTTTAAACAAGCTCTATGGAACCAGTCTTAAACTTCTAGAAAACCAGTCAGCTCTAAGGCAAAGATCTATGCATATCATCACACAAAGAGATGTTGATGTTAAACGCATACGTCCACAACTGATAATGTTTGAAATTTTGCATACATTCAACATGAACTTTTTAAACACAAAGATAACAACTTCGACAATTATCAATTAGAATTAATTAGAATCTTTGATTAGGCATTATTTTTCTGAAGGATGCTTATAACGACGTGTCGTGACTAATTTTTTGCTTTGTAAGAGTAACCTATGGAAAACCAAATAAAATACAGTAACTTACTGCTTTTGTAATTTCTTTCAAGAATGGGATTAGCTTCAATAATTCACTGTCATTAGAATCAACAAACCAGCTTTCGATTGGAACGCCATTGTCTAACTAGAAATTGATTGTGAAAATACAAAAGTAAGATTGATTAAATTCATTGTTAATTAAGTATGAACACAACGTAGCAAAACTCAGAATGAAACTGTGTTGAACTTTTAAACACTTTAGCGCTTAACGATTTATAACACAATCTGTTCAAATGACAAAACTTACGAAGGCGAGGAGAAATCTAAATCTGTTTGTGGTAAGTGATACCGCTTTTATTAATTGTGAACAAGTGAAAGCACTGAAATCAACGCAGTGTAATAGAAGAAAAATAAGGGTAAGAATATTTAGTATGGTTGGAGAAACATGCAGCCAAAACGTCAGATTTTGATCAAATACTTTTAAATTAGATAAAACACTGACCAATGAAAAGTATTGGATTCACAAAGATACACTTGAACAAAATCTGAAAAGATTTACCCGGATTACTAACCTAATAAATTGTTGGCCTATACGCTAAGAAAAGGTAGAGGAAAGCATTACGGGGGATTCGTTTGCATTATGTAGTTAGTTACCTAACGAATTATATGCAAGTGTCAGGAAAAAGGTCAAATTCTAATTGAACGAAGGAGTTTTGAGATTATCGATTTCAATTAGTACCAATTCTTTCGAATTGTCACACGAAGGCAATATCAAGGTGAATAACTTTGGACCACATTGACACTGTTGGTGTTGGTCTGCAAAAGCAATGATGGATGTGCATAGGGGGGAAATACTTTACACAATCGGTCCAACGTTTCACAGCAATCATAAACGTGGAAATATGATTTTTAGTTACATGAGAAAATAAGTACTTATCAACTGAACAATTTTCAGCTTCGCTGGTGGTTCAGGGGTAGAATGAACGCCAACCACGCCTCACGTGGTGCGATTTCGATTCCCAGATGATGTACGCCTAAACCCCACTTAGCCTGTCATGAGTCCAGTAAAGGAAGGTTAGGCGTCAGCCTAGGAACTCTATCCCGAAACAAAAAACATCACCAGTGCTGAAACTTCAAAGCTTAAGCTTAGAGAACTCTGTTTTACTTAGGATGCAAAAGAAGTTAATGAAGAACAATTTTCAACAACAAAAAATTACCTGATATCCAAATGCCTGTGGTGAATTATCAATAATCACAGTTTTGCGAAGGTCTCGACCAAGAACACGTAGATCTTTCACGTAGTTACCATTCACACAAACGCAATGTTCACGAAATAGTCTATGCCTTAAAAAAAAGAAAAATAACAGTGTCTTACTTCTCATGAATTTCAAGATAAATGATTTGATATATAGCTCGAGAATTTTATGAATATGACAAAACAAGGCTAGCAAAACTTGGGTCTTAGGTACAGGGTCAAAGTAGACGATGGACAGAACACTTGTGACTTCAGCAGAAAACTATGCGACTTAAGCAAGGCACTCTATTCAAACTCACACAGCCATGTAAGAGCTTACGGAGGGAACACAATATGAAGACTAGAAGTAGCACAACTCTTTATATGTATATAAATGTAACTGAGATTAAACAGCTTTCACACGTTAATACTGTTCAGTTTATTTCTATCTTTGTTTCGCATACACACACACACGCACAGTAATTTGTTTTTGCTTTACGAATAAAGTTTATAGACAAGTCGTCTATAATCTAAATAAAGCAAAGCTCAGACTGTGTCGTCAGGACTAAATGTGAGAAGTACAAAATCTGTAAACGAATTAAATCCTATAATCCCTTATCACATATTAAAAGGAAGCAACCTATTTGATTAAACTCTGTTGGTAAAACCCTATTATATATTCAAAAGATGAATATGAATAACTTCAACAAATCTTGGAGCGTTGATTTATAAAACATTGATATACCTTGGTTGTTAATATACAGGAACTAAAAGCTGTGTTATATGTATCTGAATGAGACATTCCTGTGAACCCATAAGTAGTGGTTAGGTTAAGTCAATAAAAAATTTTTCCACATGAGACAAAGGTTAGACATGAAAACACCTTGTGCCCTGACTAATAAATAACGACAAGGTTCACATTGAATATACAGAACCTTTGATATGTATTTCCAGGCTGTGTAGTTGTAATGATTCAAGCTGACTACAGGATATTAAGTTATTAGTTAAGGACTTGGAAATTCGTGAAACCAGCCCTTTCATAACCTAGTGTATACATCCAAATCAGGTCACCCAGGTATGACGTTTATTTGGAAACAAATACCTGATTGTATATAGGTAAGTTACAATAAAAATGGAGCAATGCAACTCAAAAGCAATTTCTTCGCCTCAAACCATTTAAGGTTTATGCTTCAGATTTTCTTACGGAGTTGTGTTTGCATCACCTTAAATTTCCAAACTAAGATGACAACTATAGCGCTTTTCCAGTGACACCTTAATCTCGACCTTACGTAACCAGTCAACTTGCTGTAATACCGGAAATCATAAAGAATCTACACATCCTATGGATCCAGGTTTACACATGAGCGCATATACTACTGGTTGATATGAGTAGTCGGATACCACTTACACCAACCAGTAGCGCAACGATAGCCACTAGATGGAAGTGACCTAAACACTGGACAGTTGTTCCGCTTGTTTGGGGTTGAACTAATCACTGAATGGCATACCCAGTTTGACTTAGCTCAGCTCAGGGAGCTGAATCAGTTCAAGTGAGTCAAATTCTGACTAGTTTAGTTTACTTGACCGAATTAGTATTACACTGAGAATTGAAGATTAATTTACAAATTGAGAATCTGATCCAGTTTAAATGTTATTAATCATCATAAAATAGAATATAATTAAGACTCTCTACAAACTTACTTGATCCACTTCTTATTAGGGTCAATTAAATTGACGAGACGATCAGCGTATACTTTTGTACTAGCTGTAAAAAGTACAACCTCAAAAAATTCAGATACACTTGAAAGAAATTCATACAAATGTGGTCGAATTCGAACATACACCTGACGTAATAAAATTAGAGTTGAAATAAAATAAATTAGTAACGCAAACCATCGGCAATAGGAAACAATACTCAGCTTAATTTCATTCATTTCATCCAAGCAATGCCTAACTTTACATGACATGAAATAAAACTGAAAAAGTATTATAAAATCAGCTAATGTATGGTGGATCGTCGCGTATAAAAAGGGCTGGTACTTAACAAACAAAAAGCAAGAGATTCAATGAGTAAATTGGTTTCATGAGAACCAGCTATTTACCTTGTTATTAAATGACTGAGATATGTAGGTTAAAGAGACAGGAACACAGTTAATTCATGGATTCATTCAAGTGGTCCACGTATTCACTAAACCGTCACATTCTACTAGGTGCTTTACCATCGTCATTATCAAACGCGCATTACAGCCCAAAATCCATTGTATTTCTTTTTATTAGAATTGCTTTTGATTCATTGAACAGAAGTTTTCCAGATTTTGTCATGTAGATGTGTATCCAAGATATCTCATGAAAGCTTGAAAGTCATATGCAAAAACACAGGTGGTTGTGTTATGTCCTGATAATTCCTCTCCACCTAGTTTACTTAACACCATTATTGTGTCAGTATTATTTATCAACCTTTGGATTTACACCAAGCTCATCTTGTCTCCATTATGTGATTGCGTTCACTATTTAACCTCTTTATCACCACATTTGTTATCTGTTAGTCTCTGAACTTAAATGTGGTGTACCTCATTTATTTGTTTGTATTTTATCGGTATTTACACTTCTAACACATCATTGAATATAACTCACCCCCTTTCCCCTGAATCTTATGCTAAGTTGATCATAAATGCATTGGTACGTCAACTAATCGTCTATTCACATTTTATCTTATGTTCTGAATGACTGCACATTGTTTAGAATTCTTTTGCGTTCCAAGTGGAACACGGGGCTTTAATCTTCAGCCAGTGCCAGTGGTGTTTATTTTGATAGGGTGGGGGTTGCTAACCTCACACCCAACCTCCCGTCTTCACTGGGCTAACTACCGGCTATGTGAGGTTTAGGGGTGCGTCGGCCAAGACTTGATCCCGAGACAACGTGCGTGACTGAGGAATATTTCACCGGCGAACCACTGGCAATGTCTCGAAATGACGTCAACTGATAGAATATTGGTGCGTCGGTGACGCAGTGGTTAGGACGATCGCCGACCATACACATGGTTCAGGGTTCGATCCCCGGCCGACGCACTCCTTTACTTCGCCAAACCGGTAATAAAAAGCCGGTAAAGAGGAAAAGTTGGGCATGAGGCTAGCAATCTCATCCCATAAAAGTAAACACTGCTACAGAAACTCCAAGCCTCTAGCTTGAAGCCCTATGTTCCATTGGGAACGTGGAGGAAAAAAAGCGGAATGTTACTCCATCTGAATGCATACACACAAGTATATTTGCTGACGTAATTTTTATTTGAATTCACTGGCTATGTATTCCCAGTTGTGTTTCTATCTGTAAAGGCTAAAGTTACTCAGATGAGTTAGTCGGTGAAAGAATTGTGTTTTTCTAACTAGAACTGATTATTCTAACTTGTGGTATAGTTTGTATCTCATATGCATTTTGGGATTGTCACTCTAATCTCGTAAATTGAATGGCTATTTATTTAACATATGTCTGAACTGTTTCTTATTCATTACCTACATAGTACTTAGGTATGCAACTGAAAAGTCTATGAAATAAGATGAATTCACTACTTCATCTTGCAAATGTTGTTCTTATTTCATAATAATGAATGGTCACGGAAATGCAACTTACCATATACACTACGCCCTGGAAAACGACTTCGAAGATGAACTGAGCGTCCAAAAGGGGATTTAAGCTACAATGAACTAAAGTCTCATCCAAATCAAGAACTAAGCAAAATTCAGGAGAGGAACGAGTTCTTTTCGGCAATGCAGGTGGACGACAAACAACATCAGAAGGTAATGGTGGAAGGCTGCGTATGAAGGCATATCTAGAATATAAATTAAACAAACAATTAGAGCTTCCTTAAGGAAACATAAAAATAATTATTGGACTAATAAAAAAAATTAATGTATTTAGGAATTTATGGTTTGATTTCATCCATTTGAGTGACACAAATGCTGGTACTTAAAAATACCTCACTTTATGACACAAAAAACAAAGCTATAACACACTGAAAGAAATATTCGAACTACGCTCCGCTTACAGAGCTCCTAGAAGTACCATCAGTCTTAGACATATTTATGGCTTATCGTCTACAACTGAAAACTTGCACTTGGTGATCGAGTTGTATTAAAGTTACCGGTTCAGGTGTACTTACGGCTTATTTACCTCGAGAGTTGTAACGCTCATTACGCCTAACTGAAGTTTTTATTTCCAGTATCAGTCTTACCAGCTTCAAATGACATTTCATTTTACACCGGGTGAAAAGAATGAGAATACTTGTTGACATTGTCAAAAATAGCATAGTAGGACTACTATTTTGAAAATACTGTTGTTAATTAGTTGGAAGTCAGTTAACCAGAAAAGAATCTTCCTGTCATAGTGCGAGCCCCACTTTATATGTGAGGGCTAGTAGAGAAGACATCGAGCCCTGAAGCTTTGGTTGAGAAACACGTGTTTAAATAAAAAGACCGCATACTTGTACCTCAAACGAGGGGTACGGAGTGACATCACTAACTGTAAAGAGAAAGGATCTAAAGCATCCATACAGGGCAAGATTCCTCAAAATGTGACGAGTGCTACTACAAATGTACTTCAACAACCTTCCATATTATTATCTGAAGACTTACGCATCAATCTCCTCGAAGTCTGTGTCATCACATTCTTCTATTGCTGAGATTTCCGTAGACAATTCTTGTGGAGGAGCAATGGAAGATGATGAGTCACTTGGTTCGCTTTCTTCATCTGAATGTTGTGCCGTTTCATCTTCACCGACATATCCAACTTCATTGAATAAATTAGATTCCATATCATTAAGAGGGTTGACTTGCTGGACTGAATTATTCATCAACTTTGAGAAAGAATATTGTTCAGGACACTCAATAAGTGCTACGCTTGAGTCTGATTCTACAGCTACACAATGGTTTGAGGTAATGTCTACTAGAGGTCCCGTTTTGGAAGTACCTTGTAATTCAGGTATTATGTGGTCATTTTCTGATATGGTATGGAAAGTTTGACAATTGTAATGTAACTCTTGATTTTTAACGGGCTCCGAATTGGGAGTGGGAATACACGACGGAGGTGAAATGTTTGGACAATCTATAAAGTTATGATGGGTTTTTATATGTGGTGGATATTGGTGATAGCAATCCGCATTCACCTGAGTATCTGCATCATCTAACAACTGAAAAGTAAAAATGTACACGAATACAATTGGTGCCCATTTGAGGAAAAACACTAAATAGACAATGAACTGCATTTTGAAGTGTATTTAGACAATGACAAGTGTTCTATAGTTTACTATAGACTAAGTAGAAGTGAGGACTTAAAAGGTATTGAGAAATGTCGACTCTTAGAGTGGATAAGGAATGCTCAGGAATATGAAATTTGGCACATGTACATGTGTTGATTACACACCAATTAAACAGCTAGAGAAAACCTTCACCTGACATTCATTCGTTTCTTCGTCTGAACTATTTCTTACAGATTATGAACAAGCGACAAGTATGTAATATGATCGACATCTACCAAGTGTAATGCATACTACTTTCCGACACTATATGATTATCTTAAACCCCGACATGATTTCAAAGAAAACATATTTAAATGTATTCAACGTCTCGCTAAGAAGGTTTCAATCATTGCTATAACAAACATCTAATAATAAAACCTTTCTATGCCTTAAAGTGCGCATGTAATGGGACAGAAACCATGTAGCCGTAAAACTACGAGATTATATGGAAGAAGTGTACTCGTATTTATTTGCAACACACTGAAAAACTGGGAATAAGTATGAAAAATGTAAAACAAACATCAGCGAAGTAAGAAGTAAACTTACACTTTCGTTTGTAGGGGTCTGAGATTTCAGGATGGGCGCTTTGCGTAATTGTCGTGTCTTAGGTTTTGTAACTAGAAAACAAAAATAAGTCGGAAAATTACCACTCAGAGTTTGACCATATGTATTAGAACTACACAAAATCAAAAACTCGAAGACAAAGATGTTCACTGTAAGCTGTCGCTTGTTGCAGGATAATCAGAATTAAGGGAATCGGTTAGCATGTTGAACTTTTACGCTATGGCTTTAAACTCACATTACAATAACAAACCTATTTTCACCATGAGCTGACAACTGATGTCATCTCATGGTGAAATCCTCCATACAATCAAACAAAATCCCTACAAAACCAATACTTGAAAATCTATTTTCCTAACATCAACATATCCATATGGGCCATATTTCTCTATATTGATGATGAAATTAGTAGTTGCAATGAGAGATAAGGGCTTCCAGTGTTTCCAGGGCGTATGCGAAATCCTACAAAAAATTCTAAAAGGACAGTATTCAAAACTACACGCTTAAGAAATCTATTGACCCTATTGTTGTGAACTTTTCTTATAATACGTATCTAGTCATATTCATATCTCTACCGCTATTAACACTCTTTTTTTCCTTTATATGTTTAAGCCATTCCGGCTTCATTGTAAAATGAATAAAGCCTAAATTCTTGGTTCATTCGTCTTTTCAAGATTCAAGCATCACTCATCGTTCTAAGACTCAATCACCTTCGTAACACCTATCACACAACACTACTTAATTCCCAAGTAAATATCATGAATGTGAGCTAAATTACACAGGTTAAAGTATTCGATGGCCGTTAGTAATTGTTTACTCGTCTCCATAATGTAACGGTGTGCATGAAAGTGCAAAGTTAAACTTCAAGCACCACTAACTACCAATCAGCAAATTGCCTCCAAAGCACCAATGACGTGAAGGAGGCATTTTTGTGTATGGAATACATATATTTATGAAAAAATTGCATAAAAACTGTATAGAAGAATTACACAGGATAGCTTCCTCTCACATGGGATAAAAATAGTTCTGTTTTAGGTTGGTGTATCAACAGAGTATAATTCCATTGTGGGTGAAATTTATTTTGATAAAGTTTCATAGTGCTGTACAGCAACATTTACTGAGCAATAGATTGTGCCGGAAACGCCATCAAAAAATATTATTGCATAAAACAGACTTAGTTAAAATAAATATTACCCACAATAGAATCATACTCTACCACAGTGCACAAGTTCTAATCTTATATGAACACAGTAATTTAACCACATTCTACGCATGTAATTATTTAGGTCTTCTAATCATAACAATGACCCCCAATCTTCCCTGTACCTAACCCTAACGTAAAAGTATCGCTAAACTAACTGTAATCTAACTCGAACCAATTCTAATGTCACCTTTATTAGATTAGCCTAACCCTAACTTGTCCTTGGCTTAGAGTAATTTAACCTTTCCCAAACCTAAGCTGAAACTTGCCAGACATCCTATTTACTAAACAAGATACTTCGATGAGCATATTTTATTGATGATGACAGTATTATTTGCCGGATTCCAATAACTTGCTTAGTGGGCTTTTCAAGGTCATTGGTGCGGTCGCACCCCAACGGTAGTTAGTGGTGCTTAAGAACTTAACTTGGCCCATGAAAGATCTCGGTGACATTTAAGATCCAGTCAGTCATACGGATAAATCGTCTTAGTACCAAAGAGGTGAAGAAACAATGTTCTCATTCAAAGTCTTCATTTAAAGTGAACATTTTTCTATATATGATAAGCTGCCGGTTGTCTATGAATATTTTACAGTATACAAGCTAGATAAGCCACTGCTTAGTAAAAATACTGCTCAGCGATAAATTGACACACCCTAAGTGGGGAATTTATACTTTATTTTCAGATTGTACGTGAGACATGGCTCATTACATCGGCACCGGAACTCAGAAATATAATAGCTGAATCATTTTTACTGCATCACCGTCGTATAATTTAAATACAGATGAAGGAATAACCTACCGAATCTGACCATCTCAACGTGCATTTGTAAATTTAACAGCTTTTGTGCGGACAGTTACATAGGTGGAATGATCCAGCAAGCCCACCATCACCTTCCTGAGCATCATCCGTGGTTAGGGATAAGAATGATAGTCAGGAGTCCTGTATTGCCACTCCAAGAGAATTGGGAGCACGAAACTGATAAAAATCCGGCCCTGACTGGCCAAATCAAGGTCATTTGACTTTGGTGTCTATTGTTTACTCTTGCCACCTGTACAAGAATACACATTCACAACTGACTACTTAGTGTTCACTGTCAGTAACTGCCTGGAAGGACTGCATCATGCGCATATTCCGGGACAACGAAACTACCAAAGTTCCATCCATCAATAAATCTGTGAAACCAGATGAGTGGTAAAATTACGCATCCCAGTCGGACACCACTGGATTTTCGCCTTTCGATAATTGCCAATGAGGTGCATCAGTCTCAATGGTGCCTTAAACAGAACAACATACATTAACGTCTCTCCATGAGCAGGTATTTCACATCTCTCTTGTCAAACAAATGCTGCTTTCGGGTCTAGAAACAGAGTGTACCAAATGTTTATAGGTAAGTTTGTGTTCCACCTGTAGATAATTACATCAATCCCTTAAAAGCTTATCCGGATTTTCACAGAATAGAGTATGCTAGAGTCTCGAGACATTAGGCTGCTTAAACCGTGGCCATGAGTATTCTTATACAATGGGACAATCAACAAAATACACTAGTCTAACAGGACTATCTCAGGTTCTAACATAACAACTAACACCTCAGTTAATCTAGCAAAGCATACATTGCTGCTAGCACCCTTCAATAATTTTTTAAGTCAAACCACCATGTACTGTAGCCCGAATTATAGTTGGACGGCTGACATCTATGTCCTGTTCAGGCTGATGTTGAGCGTCAGGTGACTGTGGTGTATTGGAGGACAGCTAGATCACGTTTTAATGTGTTCTTTTTTGTTCCACTGGTCTATATTTATTTGAAATTCCATCCTTTGCGGATTCAACCTCAGACACCATAGATTTTTTAGGACTAATGCGTTAATGTGGCTGAAAAAGTGACCTACAGTCAAAGGTTCTCACTCCTAACATTCTACAGAACTAGTTGCATGCAAAACTGCCGGTTGCGGTCGCGTAATTTAAGCTTGGGTAGAGTCTGTCTGTTTTCGACATAGAACTTTGCACAAATGTGAGGAAGTTAAAGTCGCCACACTCCATGTAGCACACAAAGTAAGAGGAGAAAGTAGAAGAAAGGCATAATAAAGACAGTAAACAGAGGTGTGAGACAAAGGAATAGTAGTAACGAAGAGCAACATAGTTTAATTGGAAATCATAAGTCACAGGGAGTGGATGCATCTGCGTCACTGAGAACGATTTTGAGCCATGTCACCAATTGTTTCCAACCATTGATTTTTACCGTCCCGAGGACCCCAACCAGTCAGGAAGTCTACACCCTCCTACGTGGCTTAGACCAACTGTTGTGGATTTCATTGACTGATGCCATGTTTTTGTTTGACCTCCACTAGCTCTTTTCCAGCCTGACCCTGTATCTGCTAACACTGCTCGTTGAGGGAGGCGATGGCTTGGCATACGTAACACATGTCCTAACCATCTCAGTCTTTGTAATTTCACGACTTCGTCGATTGATTTCCCCTGTTTACCTAGAACTCTACGCCTAACCTCAATGTTGCTCACCTTATTATGCCACTTTACACGGGAAATAGAGCGCAGGCACCTATGCTCAAAGACAGCTAGTCTTTTCATGTCTTCCACTCTCAGTGGCCAGGTCTCACAACCATAAAGGAGGACGGAGCGGACTGATGAGCAGTACACCCGCCCTTTGGTCGATAGTCGAATATCTCGTCCACGCCAGAGTTGGCGTAAACTAACAAATGCGAAACGAGCCCCCTGTATTTGTGCCGAGATTTCGTCAGAGATCAACCCGTTAGGGCTGATGGTACTTCCCAAATAAGTGAAGCGATCAACGTGCTCTACCACTTCACTCCCTATTTCTAATCTAGGAGTCGCTGTAGTTCAGTCACGTAACATCACCTTGCATTTGGCGGGAGCGAATCGCATGCCAAACATTCGTAGATTGCGGCTCAAAGTGTTCAGAAGACTCTGCATTTTGTCAGAGTCTGCTGCTCAGCAGTTCGCTTCGTCCTTCTCTATGGCTCTGAAACATGGCCAATACGCGTTGAAGACATGAAAAGGTTGACTGCTTTCGATCATAGATGTCTGAGATCTCTGTCTCACGTTAGGTGGTTTCACAAGATAAGTAATGTTGATGTTAGGCGTAGAGTGTTGGGCAAAGAGGGAAAATCAATCGACGAGGCTATAAAGTTACATAGACTAAGATGGCTAGGTCACGTGGTGCGCATGCCTAACCACCGCCTCCCCCGACGGGCATTACTAGCTGATATAGGTGCAGGTTGGAAAAGAGCCAGTGGTGGCCAAACAAAAACATGGCCTCATCAATCCATGAAATCCTTGACAGTTCAACTGAGTCAGGTAGGGAGATGCAGACTCCCGGGTTGGGGCCCTCGGGACTCTAGGAATCAATGGCTGGAGACAATAGGTGACATGGCTCAAAATCGTTGTCAATGGCCAGCGCATATGTATTCAGTCTCTGTAATCTTTCATATTTCTTTCTACCATTACCCATTCTGTTTCACTCTTATATTTGTCAAACTCTATTAATTCTCTTCACTCATCTTCTTGTCTACCTCTGTGGGCTATTTGGAACGTGGCAACTCGAACTGCTGCACTTCGTTGGCAAGTTCTATGTTGAATCCAGACAGACAGACAGAGTCGTCGCCTAGGAGGACTATATCGTCTGCATATTCTAAGTCAACGAGATTATTCCCTGGTAGCAAGTCAATCCCTGAGTCGCTGAATTCGCTCGGGGTTAAGTCCATTAGTACATCTATGACAAAGTTGAAAAGAAAAGGGGATTATGGGCATCCTTGACGGACACCACTAGTCGTCACCAGTTCAGATGACAACTCGCCGTAAGCCCTCACCTGGCTGTATGAGTACGAGTAGAGTGCCTTTATCAGTGAAATGTATTTTCTCGGCATTCCTTTCACAGCTAAGCATCTCCAGAGAACCTCTCGGTCGATAGAATCGATATACGCCTTTATGTCAAGGAATATAGTGATTGTTGGGCGCCGGTAAGAATTCCTAGTTCTAGAATCTGTTGGAGGGTGAAGATATGATCAATACACCCTCTTCTTGGGTAGAGAGTATTATAACCCAGGCGGACGATTATGTATAACAAACCGGAAAAGCTTTCCCCAAAAAGAAACATTCGAAACGTGCATGTGTGACACGTAAATGAACAAAAAACACCTAATCACCCCAAACTCTCAACTTAAGTCGTAAATCCTACCTCAAGTGAAAAATCGACATTGAACCGCATATCAGCTGGTATAGAGTGACACGAATAAAGTGGATGAACCGAAATGTTACTCAACAACCAATTACAATCCCATGAAATTAAGAATGAGTTATACCCATTGTTAGGGTGGATCATCCTATCTGGCTGTCCAGATTTTGGTAGTTGGAGTGGGTTCCGAGCTCGTGACCCAGTGGTTGGAGTCCGAGCAGTCAGACCGGGCAACTACAGCTCCACAAACAGAACGGAAGCAAGAAGGGGACGACCTCATATATTGTGTACAGTCATTCGGTGAGTCACTAGTCTGGGCTCTGACAGGATGAACCACAACAGGCATTCGGGTGAATTCGTAACTAGAGCTCAGCATCTTAGCACACAAGATATAAGAGCCGGTCACCATTTGTTAAGGAGGCCGAAATGCATATTTGATCGTTTTGGTATGCATTTACACACATTTAAGCAACTCACTTATGAAACTGATCTTGGCCTTATCAGAAAAACCAGTGAAAACAAACTTACATGAATGCTTTCTCGCGGCTGGGTTACACTTCTTTTGTGGAGAAATTGGAAGCTCTTGGCGCTTATTCATTTGCACTGACACGGTTTTTGGAGCTTTCCTCTTAACACTAAGGCGTCTCTTTGCAGGCCATGCATAAATTTTTCGGAGCATATTTTAATGAATGAAAATTGATCAACGTTGCAGAATTATTGTAAAATCGCTTAGCCAAGAATTGAACTAAGTAACAATACCAACAAAATCCGCAACTAATTAGTAGGTACGAAGCAATCCTATGTATTGACAGGCCAGAAGAATCAAGTTAAGGCATAAGTCATCACATTTCATACAAGAAAGCACGGCAAATAATAAGTGTGACAGCTGTATTTGTGTTTTATGACATGCTCAGCCATTATAACGACTGACAATGAAATAAATCCCAAAACTCAACATACAAGCTAAACAAGTTTGAAATGTAACACCAAACATCTAAAGGCAGATATAAACAAACACGTCTACACAAAATCATTAGGAAAATAGTAGTTAATGATCTCATTAAGGCTAGAGTCTACAACAAACAAATTCCTAATATTACTGGGTCACTGTGCATTTTTCGTAAAGTGACGACGGAACTAAACAAGTTTCAGTCAGCGTTAGTTAGATTTGAGAGTAATTCAATCTTTTTAAATGGACTTAACTCTTTCATCCCTATTTTCATCAGTACTTTTGAACAGCCCTATTTCTGCCTATATTTGGTTGTCAAGTTGACAGGGCCATTCTGAACACTTATAGTTTTCTCAATAGAACATTCCTCCAAGTATCGCGCACCTTAATGCCATTCACTCTAAAATCAGTTTTGCGCACTAGCATAATCGACGGATTTTTCTTATGCCTTTGTCTTTTGTCTGAATGCATTGTCTTTTACTTCGTTATCGGAATGAGATCTTGCGGAAAAAGGACATCTGCCGTTTGGATAGAAGGGTTCCCAAAGTTTGCGTTGGAGGCGATTCTCAGGAACTGATTTTACTCACAGCAGGGGGACAGAAAGCCATAACTTTCAGCAACGGATTTGAGAGTATTCTTTGTAGTGAAAAACTAAATTACACGGACATGTCATTTTTTTCGTTTCCAATCCCGGGTTTTGGTTCTCATTACGGATGTAGTAGTACTGCTAGGCAAACGTAACGCACCCCATGGATACCTAAGTACAACTGGATTCATACAGACAGAAGTTATACCTGAATAGCCAAATAGTGGTTAAGTTGCCTTATAGATCGCCTCTGGATGCAGACTGTGTAATAAAGGTCATTTAAAGGTGTATTGTCCAAGGAAGACTCAACTCTTAAGCTCTTTGAGTCCTTAATTCAACCGAGGTCTTTTTCCCTAATTATTCCCAATTTTCATTTGTCAAGTGTGTTCCTCATGGTAGCAATTCAGTCAGTTTTCTTCTGCTAAATATAGGCAAAGAAAGTTCTCAATCAGAATAGAATTAATGACATTGTATACGAGTAAACTAAACACAGGCAAAGTCAAAAATATCATGAGTTTCCTTACATCCTAGTGTGTGCGTATCCATTCATCAGGATGTCGGCAGCTGACGTATTTAAGAGCCACCTGTGCCTATATAACTTCAGGAAATATTATTGTCCAACTAACTAGTTTTGAAGTATTTGTGATTTTAGTTGGCAGCCATGGAGTACAGTCCTGTGGTCGTTGGTTCAAAAGAGACAAAACATCTGACGTCATTTCAATTCGAATATTGTCAGAAAAGGATTTCATGAGATTGGGATTGGGTACACCAACAATTGACGTCTTTCAATGATGGCTTCATAAATGGACAATCTTCCTCCCAATATCTTAGCAACAAAACACAACGACGGCTCAAATTAATGGACTGAACCGAATAAAACAACCAAGTTTCCCATCCACACCCAGATATGTAGGTCACTTCTAGTCCCACTTCTGGATTATTTATCTTATCAGAATCTGGTTCCATTTCTTCAGTTTTCTTTAGGTAATCTAATACACATGGCCTCAGGATCTCTAGATCAGTAAAATCAGCCCGAAAATTCCAAAATCCTTTCACGACAGTAACTTCAAACTCTATTCTCCTTGGATACACTACTTTATGGAATGGATTTTCAAATAACTCAGTAATTTCTTATTTTTTTCGCTATCAGTATTTTCAGGTTACATATCAATAGAATACTAAGTCACATCGAGCTTAGAAATACCAGCTGAGCGTAATAAATATACAGTGCCTTGCAATGACCACACCATTCTGAGTTTTTTGCGCGAGTGAACCGTGTAGAATAGCGAAGGTGGTGGCAGAAAGAATGAACACCACAGCGAAATGACCTAGAGCCAAACAATCAGACTACTAAAAATTACAAAAGGAAGTTTTTCACAATCATGGTTCCAAGTTTGGCTCCGATTTAGAATCAAGGTGGGGCTGAGGTTAGTGTATGACTAGGTTTGGAATGAGGTTAGGTTGGGGTTAGGGTTCGGGTCAGGACAAGATCAGAGTTGAAGTTAGAGTGGGGCCACGGTGACACTTCCAAAGAAGGTTGTGGGCAGCATCCACTTGAAATGCCAGGCATTTTCACCATCATCATCGGAATATATTCACCGTAAAGTCAATGATTCACCAGGATTAGTGGGTCAGAGAACGAGTACTCATACAAATTCTGCTGATGGATTTCGAGCATATAGAAGTACGGATTAGGGTGTTATATGCATATGACCACTCCTGTCAATAGACGGGTCCCAGTTTTACAGAATGTTAGGGGCGATAAACACTGCATGATTCGCTTTTACCACGTGCATATATCCTGTAGACATACTTTTTATGCTAAAATGCCACATTTCACCTAGAATGGGCCACCCCAAGGTCATTTGGCTGTATATTTATTCTTTACCGTTGCCCAAAAAGCTTTTTTGAAGAAGAATGACTTTAAAAGGCATAAAGGACATCTGTTGCCACAGTGATTTACGACTCGAATAGGACTTCTAAAAGTGTTGAAAAGTTGTGAATTTTTCCCTGTTTTTATTCCCTAACCCTGATGAATATTTCAAATGCTGGCTGTGAAATAGTAGAAGCCTTGACACACGACGGTGGAACTTGAAGTTTCAAAAATTTGGCAATGCTCAGTGTAACTAGTCTGAATAGCGTAAAATATTACTGCAGTCAGTGACAGCGCCTGGATATGAAGCGGGTCTGGGTTGGGGGAATTTCGCTGCAGGTTTTTTCTTCACCTAATGCTAATAACCGTTTGTAATGTCTAGTCCAACGAATGAATCTCCGTTCTTTTCAGTTAGATACCTTTATGAAGCTTCTTTTCAGTCATTCCTGTGTGTAATATGCCTTTATAGTGAAAGGACCCGGAAGTTATTTTCTTAGCACCGACATATAGGTCATGAAGTCTTCTACGACCACGACTATATTTCGACGAGAAGATCAACCATTTGTTACTGATATTAGTTATTCTATTACAGTCTAATCTCCAAAGTAGTTGGGCTTCTTATTAGTTGATTATCGAGTTTTGTTCAACCACCTTTGGAGAAATAATGTACTTCCCAGTGAAAAGAGGTATGCAGTATTGAAGCAGTTCTTGTCAATGGCTTCGCCACAGAGGCTTCTCCGGCAGTGGCGAATTTACTCACTTATATGTCTGGAAATCTGAATAGAGACTCACAGACTGGTGGCAGACAAACAAAAGAGTAGAAGCTGCAATTAATGAACCTGTAGATACACTCAGGCAAGCATAAGTATTATGTCACACTTTCACTAACTGCATGTGGGTGTCGGACCATCAAATTATTCTGGTCCGGAGTGCAATAATATTTATTTGACGTAGGGGTTTACAAAACGTTTACATGAGTTAGCGTGCTAGTCTTACTGGCATGATGAAGTTCATCAGGTATTGAGACGGAACTTATGATCAGGATTTCTACAGCTACGGACACGGAACATGGAAGCGGCTCAAATTTAAATTTCGTAAACAAGCCTATGGCTTGTCAAAAGGCAATAGCCAGCCAAACAAGCGCGAATACAGATGCCGGCACTAAGCCCGAAGCGCCAGCTAATTTGTGTACTAATTGGTCCATGTCACCGAAAACCGGAATTTCATGCTTGCATATAGTAGCATCACTGCGCCACATTAATAATAATAATAATGTATATTCTCATATAAACATATAAATTTACATGAAAATGCATACCATTTTTACAGGCACGATCAAGTATGATATAATATCAAATCGTAGATTGTCTACAAGTTAATAATGTTTCAACAGTTAAATATTTGATATATATATAAATACACATTGTCTGAACTAGGCTGTATAGTTATTGAATTGTAAAATTGTCCTCCAGGTTAAGCGGGAAAATCGACTTCGTTTCGTTTTCATCCCGTGGTTGTCGGCATACGATAACCAACCAAAATTGAGGTAAGTACAACGTTTACAAGGGATTGAAAGCTGTTTTAGAAAAGTAAAAGTGCTAAGGTGAATCAATAAAGTGTAATGAAATGGGTAAGTGCAAGTATCACTAATAAATGCATTAATAAAGAAACTCCCTAGGCTGACAACGTTCATTTGCAATGTATAATGCTACACGTATATCTCGTACTATCATGATGTCCACTTTTGGTTTTAATACATTTTTTCCTTATGTCGGTTTTTTTTATTTTATGCCTTTTTGTGCATTTGGTGCACAACCGTACCCTACAGAGAATAGGAATAGAATAAGTCGAATCAAATTCATAAAGAGCTATAAAATGTTAGGTTTAATGGAATATAATGAGGATCAAGTAAAGACGTTATTGGAAAATGAATGAGATAAGACATTGTGAAGTGGTATTTAAAGATCCGACAATGGACAGCAAGTTAGTTTATAAGATGCCCCATAAATCTGTGCAGATCCCGCGTGGTCGCATCTCAACAATAGGCTGAGCGAATGGTATATATTTAAAGGTAGAAGCATGATCTGTCAAGGCGTTCATTATTATCTTTTTCAAGATAAAGATCTAAGCCCTCATAAAAATCAGAAATATCTCGAGCCTTTAATTTGTATATTGCTGTTCCTGCAGAATGGGGCGATTCACCTTAGTGACCCCCACCATATCTACTGATCAGCTAACGCCACCCTCCCTCCTTTTTTGATGTTAAGCTCTGAGACTATGATTATTATGGCTACCGCAAATATATTGCTTGGTACCAGACATGTTCGTACCTCATATTCCATCTCCCTAGCTTTCTTAATGAGTGCTTCCAATAGGTCTCCGCGTACATCTTTATGAACATTATATATGTGTGCATGCGTCCTAATGAACAGATTACTTTATAAGAAGTTAAAACCTTAAAGAATAAAAAGAATAGGTTTTGTGAATAGTGAAGCAAGATTCAGCAGAACAATATAGTTAGGATTCAATATAGGTAGTATGAACTGAAGGTAAGGTCGGTTGGCAGGACTTAGTGTACTAAATTATCATGA